TGCGGATGACACCTGCAGCCATGTCAGTGCGCAGAGGCACCCCAGAGCCTGGACTCACCCTGTGGGCAGGGACAGTGGGGTGAGGGTGGCACCAACCCCAACACCTTCCCTGACCCACGACCCTGCACTTGGCCCTGTGGTTCAGGGGGACTGTCATGCCATGCCATTGCCAACGTGGGGCTGCAGGGCAGTGGGGATGTCCCCCACAAGCCATGGAACATGAGGCAGTAGGGACTTTCCCACTGATCCCTGGGACATCAGGAAACAAGGACATCCCCATCAACACATGGGATATGGGGCATATCCCCTGAGTCATGGGACATTGGGCAGTGGGGACGTTATCCCCTCACAAGCCATGGGACGTGGTTGTTCCCACCAAGACATGGGATGTTAGACAGCAAGGGATGTCTTCAGTGAGCCATGGGTTGCGGAGCAGTGGGGATGTCCACCTGAATCCATGGTATGTGGGACAACAGGAACATCCCCAAGTTATGGCATGTAGGGCAGCAGGGATGTCCCCACCAAGTCATGGGGTGTAGGGCAGTGGGGACATCCCTCTGAGCCATGAGCCAGCAGGGATGTCCCCCTGAGCTGTGGGGCAGCAGGATGTTCCCCTTCACCTTCAGACTGCACATGGAGATGAATGGGGCTCAGCACTCACCCTGCCACCCTGGGCTGAGCACCTGAGATGCTGAGCCCATGCCCTGCCCACACAATGGCCTTGTGGGTTTCCCTGCGACAGGCAAACCCGGTCACCTCCCCATGCTGCCCTCCTGGGCTTCAGCTGTGGATGGGTCTTGCTGAGCTGGATGAGGCCCCTCTGTAGTTAGTGCTACCTGATTCCTGGGGTCCCTAACCCTGTAGCAGGGGACAAATCCTGGGGGACAATTCCTGCTCCTGCCATATCAGGAACGATGCTGGGCCAGAGACAGCACCATTATCATCGAGGTCACTGCGTGTCCCTCTTAGTGCCCTCCCCACCACGGGACCCCCGGTCCTGCCTCAATGCTACCCCAGGGCAGGTGGTAGGGGGCTCAGCCTCTCGAGGCACTGTGTACCTCTGGGCTGTAGAGAGAGGGGAGCAGGGCTGCCCCGGCGATGGAGCCAGCCTGCCCCCACAGCCACCCTCAGCCGGAGAACATCCCGGCACGGGAGGACATCACGCGGGGCTGCAGCTTGGCACTCACCTTGGCGCTGCTGCTCAGCCATGCATAGGCTCCCGCGCCGCTCCCCCTTCCCGTCCCTCCACCTGGGCCTGAAGTATTTATAGTGGAGCGGCGAGCTGACGGCTGGCAAATATTTGGTAGCTGTATTGTAATAGTAGACTCGGTAAACAGAGCTGGGGTTTGCTTTAGCACCCAGCAACGGGAGAGCAGCGTGGGGAGGGACGTGGGGACGGAAGGCAGGGCTCACCTTAATGGTTCACTAGCCAGGGGATTTTCAAGTGCTGTTCCTGTAAATTCACCTATTAAATCGGCAGCCCCAGCTGCCAAACTGCCCGCACACTTGTGGCGAGGGCTCTTATCTCCCTGCTGATTGAAGGTGAAATCAAGCTTTGTCAAATAGGCATAAAATTAAATTTCATGCTATTTTGACTCCTGGAGTAGGGATCTTCTGAAGAACATACTGCGTATCGAGCGATGCCTCTGCAAACAGGCGCTGCCACCGTGGCTGCAGCCGGCAAAGCCTCTGTGGGGAGGTGCAGCAGGGCCAGCCCCCTGCACAGTGGAGCAGGGCCAGATGCTGCACAGCCCCTACACAGGTCTGAACCGTCCATCTCTAGCCTCGTGCCCCACTCTGAAGCAGGTGTGGGGCTCCTTGATGGGGTTTGGAACCTTTTGAGGTGACAGGACATGGTCTTGATGGCATGGCTGGTGGGAGAGGCACTGCAGGGTGCTGTGCTCCCCAGGGAAGGGTGAGGCTGATTGCTGGGACCAGTGGCTCCTGCCAGGCAGTGCCTGTGGATGCAGAGATGTGGACATGCCCTGTGGAGAGCAGCTGAGCCAGTCCCACAGTGGGGACAGCACCTGGGATGGCAGCGTTTTCACTGTGAACAGGGTGCTAGGGTGCCCTGTGTTTCCACTACAGCCTGTGGCCATGCTGGCCCACAGCATGGGAGTGACCAGGGTCAGTGACTATGGCGAGCAGCTCAGGTCCTAAGGTGGCTGTCGCCAGAGGTGGTATTCCTGTTTTGGCAGC